CGAGGGAAGAGAAGGCGATGGGGGCAGGTGGAACTGCAAAAACAACAATCGGGATGCTATTGCGGGCAACTTCAACGAGATACGTAGTGATGTGGAAAGATGCTGAAGTGGGTAGAAGGAAGATAATCACCATCTTGGGAGACAGATACAACTGTAGCACCGCCTAATTTCTAAGATACCACCCTCGAAGGGAAAAACAAAAGCCGACGACTGTCTAAAAATAAAACTCACCAAAGACAACAAACAAATATTTATAATAAGTCCTAATAGTTAGAATAGGACGAAATTAGAATAGGAAGAGAATTTAAAAGGTAAGGGATCAAATAGAAAATTGATATGCTGTACTATAGTTGCTACAATACCGCGACCCAAACTCCTGCGTCAATATGATTATGAATGCTTCCGAATAATAAGGCTCAACCACACACATTTCCCTTCACGTTGCAGTGGGTCTGAAAGATGTGGCATGTCTATAAATGCTCCTAAATGAAAATAAATAAATAAATAAATGAATAAATAAGAATGGTGATTAAAAAACTAATAAAATACCGTTTAATAAAAAAAATAGCCAAAAATATAAATTAAGCTTAAGAAGACTTGAAAACCCAACTGGTTCAACTTCGTTGTAGCTTGGTTAGCAATTTTTTATTGGCCTATAAAAAATTACTTTTTATGGGCTAAACTGGCTTACACATCACCAATGAAATTATTAACACCACTTAATGCAAAAATACTAAACTAAAATAATATGTATTTGTCAAGACTTCAAATCACTCTAAAAGAATATAACCAAAAATGAAAATACGCTTATATTTTTAGTAGTTAAGAACTTGGAGCTCTACATCATTTGCTTGGCATAGACAGAAATAATTTCATTGAATGTTGTGCTAGAGTTGAGGCATCAAATCTCCATTTAAGTATAGTACTCGTCAAATAAATGTTAATCCCTCCATTTAAGATGATTAAGCTAAAATCCACTATGATAACAATTTTTAAATCAAAAATATCTTCAGGAAATGATTTCATATTGTTGAGTCGAGGTTGTGACTGTGCAGGAGTAAGCGTTGACTTCCATGAATGTGAGTCAAGAGGAGCGAGATTAGTTTACGTGATCAAACAGTGAATCACAATATAAATTAAAATCAGCCACATTAAGCACGAGGTTAAGGCCAGCGATGCTTGTGAGATCCTAAGGAGGCAATATCTTTCGTAGTTCACTGCAGGACTTGGTAGAAGCACATCGTTCCTGCAGCCTAAATAAAGATAATGGATAGGTTGTGTCAAATATATAGACAACTCCCCAAGCCTAAATGAAGATGGAAATTTATGGGATATGTAAACTGATAATGATTAACAATTTCAAACGAACTAATACCGGCGGACTTAATAAAAAAAAAAGCTGTATTTTACAGAGGAAGCACCTTCATAAACTCGATCCAGTTTAGAAATAATTGTAACATGTATTAGAAAAGATTCTGAGTCATTAAAATTTATTATCAACACAATCACAACAAAAATTTATACTTGTGGCCCGGCATGTCTACAATGTCTCCATATGACATGATCTAAATAACTGTGCTGAATAATGGTTTAAGAACAAAAAGCCAGAATCATCTTGCTGAAAGGCCAAAGAAAGCCAGATATGCATCTTGCCAAGAATTGCAATACAACAAAAGTTGAGATCCTTCGATCCTGAGAGGTAGAGCTGTAATCGAGCTGAATTAAGTTGAGTATGTTTTTGATTGGATTTGACTTCATCATATAATAAGTTGTTCATATTCCGCTCAAGCTTGATCAGAGCTTTTCACATGTATGTTCATAGTAGTTTTGTTTAAATTTTTTAATAATCATACTTATTTGTACTTAGCTTGATTATTTTAATTGAATGAATAACTTAACGAGTTAATAAACATGTTAAAAATTCAAATGTGAACTTTGCATTTCTAATAAAATTATGAAAAAATAATTTTACAAATCTAAACAAGTAATAGAACAAATTTTGAAATATATCTAACTAGTTTACAACAATTAAATAAAATAATATATAAATTATAAATAAGCTTTCTTCCAATTAAATAATATAAAAAAACAATAACAAAGTAATTTATTGTAATAAATAAAAATAAATTGCATTTAATTAATATGCATATAGATATTAAACTATACTATGCTACTATGGTTAATCAAATTTAATTTAAATAATACTATCATATACGATATGAGCTTTCATCCTATTAATAATGAAGAGTTATTTATCGAACAACAAACGAATTTGTTCAACAACAACAAGCCTTTATTCCACTAAGCGGGGTTGGCTGCATGAATCATTTTTCTCATTTGTCCTATTGGGTGTCACATTTTCATTTAATTCTAATTGGTTAAGATAATTTTTTATACAATATGCTCAAGTATTTTTAGGTCTAACTTTGTCTTTCTTAACATAAGTTGAATCTAAAACATCTGCTCTCCTAATCGGATCATCAGATGGTCAACACTTAATGTGAACTTAATGTGATCAAACGATCAAACAATCTAAAACGACTCTATCTAGTCTTGTCTGTCATTAGAGCGACACCAACCCTTTCACGGATAGATTCATTTCACATTTTATCTCAAGTGTCATGCCACTCATCCACCTAAGCATTCTCATCTCAACAACACTTAACTTTGTTTTATACTTCTCTTTTAAAGGCCAACATTTTGTGCCATAATGTGCCATAAATTTGTGCCATAAAATATTGCAGGTCTAACTATCATCTTATAAAATTTTCCTAGCGGAACTTTTCTATTACACAATAGGCCTTCTGCATTCCTTCAATTCAACCAACCAACCTGAATTCCACTAATAAAATCCCCATCTATATCACCATCACTTTGAACAATAAACCCGAAATATCTAAAACGTTCACACCATTGAATGATTTGATCACGCATAGTTACAACTCTGCCACTAGAGCTACTAGTACTAAAATTACATTCCATGTATTCAATTTTAGACATACTGAAACGAAGGCCTTTAGACTCCAATGTAGACCTCCATAATTCAAGTTTTTCTTGAACTCTTTCTCTAGTCTTATCCACAAGAAAGATGTCATCAAAGAAAAGGATACATCAAGGTACATCATCCTGGAAATGTCCAGTAAGAGCATCTATAACTAAAGCAAAAAGATATGGGCTTAAAAACGGGCTTAAAGCTGATCCCTGATGTAATCCAACAGAAATAGGAAAATACTTGGTCAATCCTCCTTCTAAGCGAACACAAGTAGCAGCTCTAGAATACATCTTTAATGACTTGAATATAAGTAATATCAACAACATTCTTTTCTAGAACTCTACAAAGTTTTCTAGAATGATTTTGTTCGTGAAAATTAATAAATGAGTTGGACTGTATGTAAGTTTGATTCATTTAAACTTTAAGTTTTTAAGGAATATTCAAGATTATTTATTTACTAATTTGAACAAACTTAATTAAAAAGCAGTCGAGTTGAGTACAAGTTGCTCATCGAGTGCATTGGTTCATTTAAAAACTACTAAGAAGATGTTTGCTTGGGAGAATTTGTGGTTTAAAGTAAAAAGAAAATAAGGTTTTTAAAGTTTTGGTGCTTAATTGGATTAGAAGGAATGCAATATAAAATCTTGATGAATTTAGTATCACTCTTCAATTCAAAATCGATGCACTGCAAATTTGCTAGATTTGAGCAAATTTTAAATACACTAAAAAATACGAGCCTTATTGCCACACATAGGAACCCGTTGTGCGCAGCTGCTCACTGGCGGCTGCCCCTCGGGCTGTGGTCGTCGCCCACTAGCCTTACTGCTCATTGGCCTTTGCCGTTCGCTACCACCATTGCTACTACAATCGCCGACCATGCTTTTACATTGATTTTATTTTTCTTTAAACAAAATAAAAAAACTTGAACTACTACATTTAATTTACACCAAGCCAAACAATTCTGAGGTATTTCAAATATATTACATTTCAATTCCATTGCTTTCTTTTATATGATTTTTTTTTTCAACAAACTAAAAAACCTCCAAGATTCACATAAACAATAATTTTAAATGATTTTATAGAAAATATATAATGAATTTTAACATTCTAGTTCATTGAGTGTATTGGTTCATTTACAACATTACAAAGAGGCCATTTGATTCAGTGAATTTGTAGTGTAATGTAAATAGAAAGCAAGGGTTTTTAAAATTTTAGTGATTGGTTGGATTAAAAGGAATGTTGTATAAAATTTTGATGAGTTTAGAATCACTCAGCAATTCAAAATTGGTGTATTTCAAATACGTTGGATTTGGGCAAAAATTAAATACACTATAAAATGCATCCCTTGTTGCCACACATAGGCGCCCATTGCATGCCACTACTCACCGGCGGCCACCATTGTTGCTAGTTGCTGGCCTTTATCGCCCGCTATTGCTCTTATTGCAGCTGCAAATTAAGTTTTACATTGATTTCATTTTTCTTCGAACCAAATACAAAAACTCCTGCATTTGTTTTACATTAAGCCAAACAAGTTTAAAGTAATGCACATATATTACATTTGAAATACACTGCATTCCTTTTCAGTGTATTTTTTTGCAACAAACTAAGCAACCTCTAAGGTTCACATAAATAAAATTTTTTAATATTTTTATTACAAAAACAATGGTTTTTAATATTCTTATAGCAGCAGCATGCCAAATCAATACGAACCACTAATGCGTTAACAGTAACAAAGTAATTACCCCTTTTGGTTCATAAGAGATTAGTATACAACTTAAAGATAAACAAGGCAAATTCAAATGCTTGGGCTAACCACATGACATGATAGGCGTAAATAAGAAACGTACATAAGCAATCACTGCAGACCAAATAACAATCTTAGAATCATATGACCTTCAAGCTCAAATTAAAATGCAACACCATGAGTAGAAATTTAAGTAAAACAATTAAAAAAATTAAGCTAAGGGATAATAAAAGCAGTAAAACATATGAAAAGAATTCAACTTACTTTAAGAATTTCTTCTGATACTCGAATGAGAAACTTTTCAAAACTTCCCAGAAGACATCTATCACGGGATGATTCTGCAAATGAAGCTCAGATCATTTGCTTTCACATGCGTGCATAACTTAGATGAAGAATAGAGGGGTCCTGACACTGTGTACGAAATTCTCAAAACTACAATTTTTGCACATTCTAAATAACATTTTCAATTTATTTCTTAGATTTCTGAACAGGAAGATGAAATCCACTGAAAAATAGACATCAAGCATTTTGTTCCACAAATATTATACAAGGAAAGGATCTCAATTAAATTGGGCATTTACTTTTCCACCAGGAATGCTGGGGCGAAAAAAACAGTTGAGTTAGATGTTGAATTTAAGTACTCAACATCGATTATTAGTTCTAGATTTTAAGATGAAGAGTTGTAAAATAAAAAATATTAGGAATCATTGTCATAGAATTAGATGGGGGTACCTAAAAGACACAAATAAAATTTTTTTTTTATGTGTAAATTTTATGTGTAAAATTTAAGATTTCAAAATTTGTGATGCTCATGAAGAAGCAAATTCTATGTGGGATAAAGTAATAATAACTATTAAACAAATGGAAAAAATTGTACTTGAAAAATCAAAAGAAAAAGTTTCTATAAATTAAAATTGTTGGTGATGAAATAATAATATGCAAAAAAAAATAAAATATAAGATATGTTATAAAAATTGGTTTAAATGTAAAAGCTTAGAGAACTGTGAAAAATATCAAACAACCCGTAGGGAGTCTAAGATAACAATATGTGACGCTAAAAATTATGTTTTTAGTGATCTTTATAACATATTAGATACTATAGAGAGTGAAAAAGATATGTATAAACTAGCCAAACAAAGAGGCATGAAAAGTAAAGATTTAACACAAGTAAAACGTATTAAAGATGAAAATAAAAAAAGTGCTTTTCTTAGAAAAAAGATATTCAAAATAGATGGATGAGTTATTTTGATAAATTTTTTAATAAAATTTTGAAAAATACGATTAATCTTAGTGTTCTTAATATTGTTATAATAATAAAATGGTTCATTTTTACCGTCGTATTAGTAAAAGAAAAGTTGAGGAGGTTTTAAAGAAAACCAATGGTAGAAAGTCTGTAGGACTTGATATCCTAATTGAAGTGTGGAAATATTTAGAAGATTTGGGAGTTTCTTGGCTCACTAAACTTTTTAATTTTTTTTTTAAAACTAAAAAGATGCTTGAAGAGTGGAAGAAGACTATTTTGGTTCACATTTTTAAGAATAAAGGGGATGCATAAGAGTGTGCCAATCATAGATGAATTAAATTGATGTGTCGTACTTTAAAATTATGGAAAACGGTAATTGAACATAATTTAAGACGTATTACAAAAATTTCTCATAATTAATTTGGATTTATGTCGGGCAGATCTACTATGGAAACTATACATTTATTGAGAGGTTTGATGGAGAAGTTCAGAGATAATAAGGATAATCTAGCTCTTTGGAGTGTTGTAGCATTTTCCCTCCATAAGCGGTGTGCCTATAACTTGCCCATGAACATGTGATGGATCCCCCTCGATGTCCTTATCTCAATGATTCGTCTTTTGCTCGTTGTTTTCCGCCAGATAGCCATCGAACGCACTCACGATATCAATCCTCCAACATCCCTAACAATTCACACCAATTTTCTTTTTGCTCGTTCTTTTCCGCCAGATAGCCACTGGAGGATGTACCTTGGTGTATGCTTTTTGCTAATGATATCCTACTCGTGTACAAGACGAGAGAAAAAACTCAGAAAAAACTTGAATTATGGAGGTCTACCTTGGAGTTTAAAGGCCTTCGTTTGAGTAGGACTAAACCTGAATACATGGAATGTAATGAATGTAATTTTAGCAATAGTAGCGCAATAGTAGCTCGAGTGACAGAAATGTAACTATGGGTGATCAAATTATTAAAATGTGTAAATGATTTACATATCTCAGGTTTATAGTTCAAAGTGATGGTGATATTAATGAGGATGTTATTGGTAGAATTCCATAGAATTCAAGTTGGCTGGTTGAAATGAAGGAATGCTTCGGGCCTTTGTGTGATAGAAAAGTACCGCTTAGGCTAAAAGAAAAATTTTATAAGATGATGGTGAGACTTGCAATGCTCTATAATGTTGAATGTTAGCCTTTAAAAGAGAAGCATAAAACTAAGTTAAGTGTTGCTGAGATGAGAACGATTAGGTGAATGAGTGGCTTTACACTTAAGAGTTAAAATGTGAAATGAATATATTTGTGATAGTATTGGTGTATCTCTAGTGACGGACAAAATTAGAGAGAGTCGTCTTAGATGGTTTGGTCACATTAAACGTCAACCATCTGATGATACGATTAGAAGACTAGATGTCTTAGATTCGACTTATGTTAAAAAAGGCAGAGGTAGACCTAGGATGACTTGGCATATTGTATAAAAAATGATGTTAATTTATTAGAATTAAATGAAAATATGACACTAAATAGTAGCAATGGAAAAAAAAGATTCATGTAGCTGACCCCACTTAGTGAAATTAAGGCTTTGTTGTCGTTGTTTGTTGTTTTTGAATATCTTGTTCCACCGTCTTTTATGTTTTCAAGCTTTTGTTCTGCTTCTAATGTCATCATAATCATAGAGCAACATAGAATCTGGGTCATTGAGGTCCATAATAATAGGATAAAGATGAAGAGCTAACGCATCTAGAGGAGCAAGGATTAATGTTCTTGTTAAATGAGGTGCTGATGAAAGAAAATAGTAAAATACTAACTCTAATAGTATAGTTGACTAATCTATTGCTTTATACATTGAATATTACTTCCTTCTACAACAACTTACTCATAATAAATGGCTTCATGTACTAAGAAAATATATTGTCATTAAAGTGGAAAATTCTAAGTGAATATTACTTGATCGACACATATACTTGTGTGATTGATTGATTGCTTCACAACAATTTCGGGCATCAAACTACATGCATCTTTCCCTCCTTAGTCGAAAACTGATATATTCCTTCGTGTCCTCACCTTTTTTAATGTTTACTGCGTCATTGCCCATTTTTTCAACAACGCCCTCTAAATGGAATAGATCATTCCCCTGATTGTGCAATCCGATTCAATATATCCAAATTCGTGGAACTTCAAATATTTTTTAGCTGGAACAAATTTAGGTATACTGGTTTGCACATCTGTTCTCTACTCTGAATTAATTTCTCCTCGGGCCTGAATGTTCCCCTGGGTATACTCGGATTATAAGATCTTAGGGTTGAGCCCTACTAGTAAGATATGGTGGTTGGCTAGTGAAGCGGTTTCTCCACTTTTGAAGTCGGGGTATGAACATCCGATCTATAGTGAGTTGGTAGCTACATCTCCCGTTTCATTTTGGACCGCATACTGAACTTGTCTTTTCTCTCATGCTAGTAGGTGCTTCAAGTTTTCCCACTCAAATAATAGACTCTTCACTAACTTGCTGGCGGCTAGTTTTACCATTTGTTTTGGCGGGACATTTTGATACTCAAAAAATTTTCACGGCCTAAAACCATTCGATGAAATCGTCCGGATCCAAGTGAATCAATATATGGCAAATCCATCGTTACTTCAAAGTCATGGCTTCTCAGATATTTCAGGTCAAATCTTTGGGAGGATTCTTCACTCCTGAAATCCACATGATGGAAAAGATTCACTCTATTTCTTTGATCTAGCAAGTCGCCGTTTTGACTACGGGTGGCCTGTTCGAATTGCCTCCTCTCGAAGGTGGTAGAGTTCATGACACACATTCTCTATTGAAGGTTGCCGAAGATCTCTTCACAAATTTCTCATAAACGACATTGTGACATTTCCTCCCAAGCAGATCTCTGACATTTATGTCTTCATTGGCATGGTCGGGGTCGAGGTTGGGGTTTGGATAAGTGGAAAAGTGTATAAGAATATATAGGGGGAGAAAAAAATTTTGGTTGGAGGTGGGGTTAGGTATAGATGGATGTTAGAAACCCTAAGATGAGACTAGAGTTAGGCTAGCCCTTACACAAATGACATCATAATTAACTCAAATAACAATAAGGAAATCAAATATTACTATTGAATTTAAAATAAGGAAATACGATCTCACAAAAGAAAATAGAAATAGCAACATACAATACAAACACTTTAATTAGGGTAGACCACGAGGTGATAGAGGTGATCAACGAAGGTTTGGATCTCTTAAGAGGTAGCAAAGGGTGTTTAGAGAGTGGGATAGGGCGGCAGAAAAAGAGGAATGTGGTTGGTTGTGGCGGCGATCCAGACGACTTGACAACGGTAGTGCAACAAGGAGATAGAGCAGCAGGGCTGCAACAACGATGCAAGATGACTAGAAAGGCTTAAGTAAGGTGCTGAGATGGTTGAACAATGGTAAACAACAAGGCAAGGGGTTTAAAAGGTTACGACAAAGAGGTTGAAGGTTGATAAAATGTTGAGGTCGTGGGAATGACTATAACAACAATGACAGCCGTATATGGAGGCTGGAATCGCAGTAGTATAAAAGAGGAAATGAAGAAAAAAAAATGGGGGACGCGGAGGACCACCAGACAACAAGAAATCAACAATTCAGGGCTGCAACAATGAGGAGAGGACGTTAGAATTTAAAAACTGTAGTGAAAACAGCTAATTGGCGTTGTTCGGAGGAGGCTGCAACAATGAAGGACAGCGGAAGCGATATGGGACGGATGTGGAATAGGATAAAGAAGATAATCACCACTTAGAGATCAAGATATAGTTGGAGCACTATCTGAAATCTTAGGATACAACCCTCAAAGGGAAAAAGACAAACCGACGACTGTCTCGATATAAAACACACAAAAAACTGCCTTCCAAGCCCTAATACAACACATATATAGAAAATGACTAAAAGAAATGAAACATTATATGAAAGAAAACATAAAAAAGAGAATCGGGATTGATTCAACCCACTCCCCTTCTCCATCGATAGCAGGAATTGCGCAGCTAGCGTCCCACATCCTGAGTTGAACGCTCCCGCATCAGATACGTTTCTCAAGAATTTACTTTTTGAAGAGGCATATCATCTTACTT